AAAAAAAATACCAAATGGCTAAAAAATGTTTGGGTCGGGTGCATTTTCAGTGGGTTGGTAGGCAACTGCAAACAAATTTAATTTTATTTTAGGCCTTAGTGATCATAGGCTATTAACTGCTGAGATCAGAATGAAACCGAAAGAAATTCCTCAGACATGTAAGAGGGAATATTACAGTTTAATATTGTATACCTTGTCATCCGTAAACCACCTCTGTGTAATGCTTAAGAGTTCCTTTCTTGAATTGTGATCTATCTTTAATGTAACAAATCACAAATGTGAATGCAACAAAATGCAAAGATTTAAAATATAGCATACAATATGTAGATTTTAATTATGGTTTATTTCAATACATTTTACATTTATAATAGTATCAATTTTGCTTTATAAGCCTGAAAGAAATTTTATATTTTCTATACTTTTTAAAACCCATGCATGTCATGATACCTTTTGTAGAAGTGATTTGATGGCTAATGCTGTGAGTTTTCTACACTTTGTGGATTCATCATTGACAAGAGCTGCTGACATGGGTATGAAGAACATTCCTGCATGATCATTCAAGATGTTCTGAAAATATAACATGAATATTTAAGAGGTGGCATTTTTTAAAAAGCAAATACTATGAAAACATAAATTTGTACTTGAAATAAAAGTGATATTTCTACAAGTAAATGTAATACAGTGTACGTACCTGAGGAAATGAAGAAAATATGGTGGCCAACATTTCCAAAGCCGATTCACGTCCCATCTCCATCTCATAAGACAATTGTGTGACGTAAAACTCCAGGTGTTTATCAAGGAGCTTTCCCAGGGGATATTCCAGGATGTACTGCAGGGCTATCTGTATCAAAGCAAAAATCAAACATATCAATACTTTCATAATCTATATTAAAAATAATATTGGGGTAAAGGTACAACATAAAGAAATTAGCGTCAGGTGACGTTCAAAAGTCCAAAAAGTTCAAAATTTTTCAAAATAAAGTTAAACCCTCCCCCCACTTTGTGTTACCTGTCTACACTCCCTCCTGACATGGGGAGAGTCAGCTATGATAGACATACCCTCCCCCCATTATTGTGTTGTGTACACCCCCACTGCTTGCATTACCTGTCTACATTCCCTCCTGACATGGGGAGAGTCAGCTGTGATAGACATACCCTCCACCTTCTTTATCAACTCCAACACCTCGGGCACATTCAACTTCCTAGACAATATGGCCTAAAAAAAATTTAAACATTATTTATCAGTTTATGAAATATTTTATTAAAATGTTACTAAAAAAAATCAATGTAATGAAAATTTCACCTTTAGAAGAGAGAAGGCGGTGCTCTGTCTGTTGTAGTCATACAAATCTTCCTCACAGAAAGTCAACAGAACTTGAAGCTGTGTTTGATTCAGTTTGTAAATCTTCACATCTCTAACCAATACTGTCACAGCCTAAAAATAATTTCATGTATGATTTAGAAAAATAGGGGGGGGGGGGAGTACTGAAGTTTTTATTTAATCAAGAGTAAAAGTTGTGATAAGATTCAAAGATTTACCTTAAATGCCATAGAAATGAGCTCCAAGTTCTCTCCCTTAGAAGCACCTGCTGAGGCATAGTTCTTCAGAATAACAAACATTCCATTGGCCAGTTTCCTGATGTTATCATCCACAGACGGTAATCTGAATTTCAGTAACCAACAAAGGCATCTCAGACTTAAGGTGTTAATCTGAAATTATATTGATGTTTTTAACACTTCGGTAACAAAAACAGCATTTTTTATCAGAAGGTTACATATATGTCAGTTCCTTTCACCAAGTATTCATGAATCTAGTCACCTCTGTTTTATATATATAACTAGAAAACTGACCAGTCAGCAAGGGCCCCGCCATGGGGTTGAATTAAAAGGGTCAGCTTACAGAATGATTAATAAATGTACGAAGAATAAGCAACATCAACAGTATTCTTAAAATTTCAAGATTTGAATATTCAAAAATCTGAAAATAATATCCTTGTATTTGCATTAGGCAGTAAAGAACAACTTAACATTGAATGTATATTTAAACAATTATGAAGCTTGTGTTATATAAAATGCAAGCCTTCAATGAATACAAATATCATTAAGGCTTGACCTTAACTTCAAACAAACAGAAGTTGCAGACAAAAATTTTCGTTCATCTTAAAGTGACAGATAAAGAAAAGCCTACTAAATTTTCTGCAGCAGGCTATATAATAAATCCCAAGGGATTAATTATACCTCTCTCATCATTTTCTTCTAAATTTACAATAAGAACTTTTTCAGTATTAATGATAGAATGGGGTTTTTATACAACTACATTAAAAATTAATAATATTCTTGAATTAATATATTTTTTTTTTTTAAAAGTGAAAAAAGTGAAAAAAAAGTAAATCAACAAATCTTCTTTAATCTATTTCTTTTTTTTTTTTTTTTTAGAATTCAATGAAATCATAACTATCAAACAAAAATAAATAATTAAAATTTATATTTAAATCCACATTTCAGAGGGTTCATAGCATTCCAAATTGATTTAACTTCAAAACAAACTTCATTTGTTATATACAGAGGTGGTAATTAATCTCAATGTGAAAGATTAAGATAATGCTCTGGATTTTCTTCAGGAGGAAAGCTAATTAATCCCAAGGGACTCCTAGCAGCATTCAGTTTACAATGGGAACATCTTCAGCACTTATCTCTCTTTGCCAATGCATTCTTATATAAAGTTAAGGAATCTACCCCACCACCCCAGCTCCAAACCAAGGGACATAGAGAACCAAACTTAGCATCAAAATATGTATTTCTACCTACTGAACTACTATACCAAATTTGTACTTGATTGGGCAATCATAAAAAAAGTTGCCCGTTCATTCTTATGCACAGTTAAGTAATCTACCCCACCACCCCAGCTCCAAACCAGAAGACATAGAGAACCAAACTTAGCATCAAACTAGAAAACTGACCAGTCAGCAAGGGCCCCGCCATGGGGTAGAACTAATAGTGTGCAGCTTACGGAATGATTAAAAAATGTATGAAGAATAAGCAACAGCAACAGCAACTGTATTCTTAAAATTTCAAGATAATTCCTGAATATTCAAAAAAACTGAAAATAATATCCTTGTATTTACATTAGGCAGCAAAGAACAACTTAACATTGAATGGATTATTTTAAACAATTATGAAGCTTGTGTTTTATAAAATGCCAGCCTTCAATGAATGCAAATATCATGAAGGCTTGACCTTAACTTCAAACAAACAGCAGTTGCAGACAAAGGTTTTCATTAATCTAAATACGACAGATAAAGAAAAGCCTACTAAATTTTCTGCAGCAGGCTAGATAATTAATCCCAAGGGATTAATTGTACCTCTCTAATCATTTCTTCTGAAGTTACAAGAAGAACTTTTTTCAGTATTAATGATAGAATGGGGTTTTAATACATCAACTATCCTAAATATTAATAATATTCTTGAATTAATATTAAGTGAAAAAAGTAAATCAACTTCAAAACAAATCAATCTACTTTAATTTTTTTCTTGTCATTAGAGTGCAATGAAATCATAACTATTAAACAAACATAAATTATAAAAATTAATATTTAAATCCACATTTCAGAGTGTTCATAGCATTCCAAATTGACTTAACTTAAAAAAAAAACTTTACTTGCAGACAGAGGTGCTAATTTATCTCAATGATAAATATAAAGATAATGCTCTGGATTTTCTTCAGGAGGAAAGCTAATTAATCCCAAGGGACTCATAGCATTCCATTCAATGGAAACATCTTCAGCAGTTATTTCTCTTTGCCAATGCTTTTGTGCATAAAGTTAAGGAATCTACCCCACCACCCCAGCTCCAAACCAGGGGACATAGAGAACCAAACTTAGCATCAAAATATGTATTTCTACCTACTGAACTACCATACCAAATTTGTACTTGATCGGGCAACCATAAAAAAAAGTTCCCCATTCATTCTTAAGCATAGTTAAGGAATCTACCCCACCACCCCAGCTCAAAACCAGAAGATATATAGCATCAAAATATGTATTTCTGCCTACTGAACTACCATACAAAATTTAAACTTGATTGGGCAACCACAAAAAAAGTTATTAGAAAAAAACAGAAAATTTGTGGACAGAAGAGTGACAGACGGACAGACAGCTAGACGGACGGACAGAGTGATTACTATAGGGCACCCGCAAATCCTTGCGGGGCCCTAACTATGTATTTCTGCCTACTGAACTACCATACCAAATTTGAACTTGATTGGGCAACCATAAAAAAAGTAATTAGAAAAAAAACAGAAAATTTGTGGACGGAAGAGTGACAGACAGAGAGACAGCTGGACAGACGGACGGACAGAGTGTTTACTACAGGGCACCCGCAAATCCTTGCGGGGCCCTAATTATACAAACCCTGATATGCTTAGAATGCAGACAGTCCACTAAGATGGTGATAAAAGGGTCCACTAATTTACAGTGGTTCTCCTCTGTCACCACCAGGCGGCCCCTCTTCAGACACAGACACAGGAGCTGGAGACCAAACTCCACCAAGACATGGATGTTGGTCTTCTTACTCAGTCTGGGTTTGTCTCCTCCACGCTTCGGTTCCTCTGGTAGCAGGAGACAGCTTGGTGGTCTGAAGGTCTGGGTCTCTTTTTCTTCAGTTTTCTTCTGCTTACTGAAAAAAATTCTCCAAAATTAACTAAAGATCCATTCAAAACAATGCTCTTAGCCTCTATTTTTGTAAATCTAACATTCAATGTAACAAGAGGCCCCTGGGCCTTATAGGTCACCTGGATTCGTATGCATAAAAATTCTAAGTCAGAATTTTCTTTAGTATATGCTTAAATTTCTAAAGCATATTCTTAGCTTAGTAACATGCTTAATTTCTGTTGCATAAAAATTCTAAGCAATATGCTTAGCAATTCTTAGCTAAGAATGTCACAATCTACTTAAGTACACTGTTGCCATGCCAATAAAGTCACTTTCGCTTTCATTTCAATGTAAACAAACACATGACATGATGAAGAAGCAAAGAAATAATATTTTGAAAAATAAAATATTAATTCACTGATTCTCCTTCCTGTTAAGGTATAACTCTAAATATTTTTGATTTATTTATTTGAGCAAAATAGTTCGTTTGATATCGATGACATGTTTATAATATTAGGTACCGTCTACTCTGACAATTCAAAGAAAAGAGAGAGAGAGAATAAATAAACTGTGGAGGATGTAGATTAAAGGTGGCGCAATTGAGAGAAAAAGAGCAAATGAAATTAATTTGAAATTATTTTGTAGAGATTAAAAGGATAAGGTGTATGTACACTTCTTTCTACGATGAATACAAAAATATTTTTTCTTATTTCATGAGATCTTTGCAAGTATCAAATAGAAGGAAATTGGCATTGAATTAAAGATTAAATGAACTTTTTAAAGTGCGTGAAAATGCGTGATTGCGGGGAAAAGGTATATGCGTGATTTTGCGTTACAAATAGGAAATGGTATATGCGTTAAAATGCGTGACTGCGAGGAAGGGAGTTAACATAACTAGATCACAGGCACTTGTTTCAGAAATATTTTTAACCATTGGATATTTAATAATTATACTATGACAAGGCTAAAAAAGTATTTCCGAAACAAGTGAGATAGATCTAGATGTTCATCGCACTGGTGAACTCGAAAAGGGTTCTTCCGAATACACTGCATTGTCACAAGTGCTGGACATAACAAACTATGTAACAATGAAATGACGTCATATTTTAAACTGTTTTGATACTAAATTGCTAGCATCTGTATAATGCCACATAATGAAGTAAAAACACTAAGATTGTAATTTATTCCATTGATTTCATTACTGTTCATATTTTTATTTCATTTTGTAAAATTCTTTAAATTATTTTTGTGCTATTTCCTTTTTTTAAATATCTTAGGCAATATGCTTAAGAACTTAAGACAGGTATAGACCATGCTTAACTTTAAGCATATGCTGAGCATATACTTAGGAGTTGAGAAGTTTTATGCAACATACTAAGCAATATGCTAAGTAAAATTTCAATCTGCTAAGCAGAAAAACAGTACTTAAGTATATGCTTAAGGACTTAAGAATTTTTATGCATACGAATCCTGAGCATTATTCAACAACTTCCCAGTGACTGAATTTGATCCATGTTTTAAGCCAGATGCTATAGCATTTACAATTTGGTCATCATAACTATACACTTAGCAGTTCCTTAGTTTGGTTACTTTATACCCATAGGCAGGGTAGGGAAACAAAAAATGCATTTCAACTAATCAGTAAATATTCAGCAATAATCAGTAGTGCCGCTACCACACATGAACCCTTGATTCTTAGGCTTAGATCCACACATTGCACTATTTTTGGAAAGGCATACTTGCTTCTCAAAAATATTTGATTAATACCAAGGAGCACATTTCAAACCATTCATTTTCAGTACATAAGTACAGCCTCCCCCCCCCCCCCACTATGGTACAACTGACCCTGGGGCCTTGAAATTTACAAATCTTGAAGATTAGGGATTGCTCATAACTATATAGGTAATTCACCTAGGAGAAAAGAAGAAGATTTTCAAAGATTTAATGTTTTTTCACTATACATGTATAATCAATACAGCCCCGCCCTAACACCAGAATCCCTAACCCTGGGGCCATAAAATTCACAATTTTGGCAGAGGCACTTTTGCTCATCATAACTATGTACTTAGTTAGTTTATTTAATACCCAGGAGTAAAGAAGAAGATTTTCAAAGAATTCATGTATTTCCTCTATATAATCAATAGAGCCCCACCCTGACACCAGAAACCCTGACCCTGGGGCCATAAAATTCAAAATTTTGGTAGTGGCACTCTTGCTCATCATAACTATGTACTTAGTTAGTTTATATAAAACCTAGGAGCAGAGAAGAAGATTTTCAAAGAATTCATGTATTTTCACTATATAATCAATAGAGCCACGCCCTAAAACTAGAACCCCTGATCCTGGGCCAGTGGGGCCATAAAATTCACAATTTTGGTAGAGGCATTCTTGCTCATCATAACTATATACTTAGTTAAATCATATAAAATCTAGGAGCAGAGAAGAAGATTTTCAAAGAATTCATGTATTTTCACTACATAATCAATAGAGCCCCGCCCTGACACCAGAACCCCTGACCCTGGGGCCATAAAATTCACAATTTTGGTAGAGGCACACTTGCTCATCATAACTATGTACTTAGTTAGTTTATTTAATACCCAGGAGCAGAGAAGAAGATTTTCAAAGAAATAATGCATTTTCACTATATACTTATTTAGCCCCGCCCTAGTACAAGAACCCCTGACCCCAGGGCCATGAATTTCACAATTTTGGTAAAGGACTCAATGCTGATTACAATCATGCAAACAGTTTGACTGCTTGATGTCCAGGAGTAAAGAAGAAGATTTTTGAAGATTGCATCAATTTTAGTGGTTTTGGCCCCACCCCCCAGGCCCCAGGGGGGCAGGAATCATGAAATTCACAATTTTTGTTCCCCTTCACCCATAGATGTTTTGTGCCAAATTTGGTTGAAATTGGTTCAGTGGTTGCAGAGAAGAAGCTGAAAATGTTCAAAAGTTTACAACCGATTGACGATGAACGACGTACGACGGACGACGTACGACAGACGACGACGGACAAAAACAGATAGCAATAGGTCACCTGAGTGACTCAGGTGACCTAAAAAAAACTATCAAAATGTTTAAACAATATTACATGTAGTCATGTATGTATATAAAAACTGCCTTTCATATTTGTTGCCCACACTCTATCAATTTTTTAGGAATAACTAAATGTTTTTGATTTTGTGTCGTATTAAATATCTGCCCCAGGCCTTTTTAATGGAGGCAAAAGGGACAAAAATAAAATTTCCCTGTATACAGAAATTAATTTCACCTCTGTTTGTCAGATAGCTGAGGAAATGACTGAGTGATTAATCCGTGGATAAATATCATCAGAGCCTCTGTATCCAGTCCTGGGTTGTCCAGTAATCCTGTCACCACTTTCTTCAGCACTTCCTGTACCTTTCTTGCTATAGTATGGCTGTGTGTAGAATCTAGTACCTGCAAGAAACAGAGAATTCTTAATTCAATAGAATCCTTAAACAAGAGGCCCATGGGCCACATCGCTCACCTGAGCACTGCCGCTAGGAAAAAGCAGAATTGGTTTATTCTTGAAAACCTTAAATCCAAAAATAGTCCCAAGACCAATCATGGTTTGCTATTCTTGAGAAGAAGATTTTTAAAGAATTTTCCTATACATTTCTATGTAAAACTTTTGGTCGGCCAATTTGGCCCCACCCTACCCCCGGGGGTCATGATTTGAACAAACTTGAATCTACACTACCTGAGGATGCTTCCATATAAATATGATGAATTATGGCTTGGTCATTCTTGAGAAGAAAAACGACAGACAGACAGACGGACGCCGGACAAAATGTGATCAGAAAAGCTCACTTGAGCTTTCAGCTCAGGTGAGCTAAAAAGTGTAGTATATATAAGTTAAGGACTTTCGATCCTGTGCTTTTGAGTCGATTTTGGTCTTGGCCTTTATTTCTGACATTCTGCATCGTTTTTAAATTTTAACGTTGAATTTAGATTCTACAATTCAAATTTAAACTATATCCATTGCAAAAACTGCAATTAAATTCCATTCAAGGAGGGTTAATCCAGGGACTATATTTTGTGGCTGAGGTTTTTTTTTTAGAAGAAAATAATCAATTTATCCCTTTTGAACTTTATAGAGTACTGTTAATTTTAGATTCCTATTTTTCTGTGCTGGTCGCACACAAAGCTATTTTTTGCAGTGAAATGTGTTCTGCGTGTTCTGAAATAGCTATCAAATTCTTTCGACGAAAGAAAAATACCATTTTATGAGTGCAGAAAGGTCAAATATATTAAATAAATAATTGATTGTGCATAGAAATGCGAAACTTTTTCTTTATCACAATTTTAAGTGTCTTTTTTAAATAGACTTATTGTTTAATTTGTCCCATACTTTATTTGGATAAAAATATTGGAGGGGAAAAGTTGACAATGTAATTTTTTTAATTAAGACATAGATTTCAGAGCAAAAAGGTCATATTCAATGGACAGTAGCGCCAAAAGAAGCATATTAACCCTCATATTTTGACTTGATTTTTCATTGAGCTATGTGTGAAGAAAGTAAAAACATACCCGGTACTTGACAAAAAATATTAAGACTTTAAATATCATGATCGAACATCCTTAACACAGTACAGTAAAAGTTTTTAGTACGAACACGGATGTCTTCTTGGATCCCAAGCTATATAAATTTGATGAATTTCTTATACGGTTATAACGAAATAATTTAATTTTGATTATATTCTAGTCTCTCATTGGTTGATTTCCAAAAAGGAACACAAGAATAAAATGTAATAACCTGGTTTGGTATGGGGACACACCCCCTTGACAACCAGCTGATTCATCTGTATCTCTGCAATCCCACATTTCCAGTCCATGGAATTACATGAAAAACTCTACATTTAATAAATGTACTTTTAACTTCAAACAGTAGCTCGCTCTTACCTCGTGTAAACAAACATCATGGCTGCCAGATCTGTGTATCACTTATTACGTCCCCTTGTTTCAAATCACTTCCGTTACTAGGGATGTATTATTGAGCGGCAAATTTGAACTCATAAAAAGCAGCACAATTTTACATCCACAGTCGTTTAATAATTTAAAAATTAAATTATAAGGAATGACTCTAATTCTTGGCCAAATTATTCGATTATAACCTGGTTTGGGTCAGTTTACGCCTTTTTATAATCCGCTTCGCGGATTATAAAGCGTAAACTGACCCAAACCAGGTTATAATCGAATAATTTGGCCACGAATTAGAGTCATTCCTTAATTACAGATATAACGAAGTCTTTTATAGGTCCCAGCGACTTCGTTATAACTGAGTTTTGCTGAAGTGTAACGAAAACTACGGTATTCAAATAAGAAAGGCACCACAAAGAAAGAGACTACCTCCCCCTTCTTCCCCCCAAAATAGGAAAAATTACTTTTTTTAAAAACAAGAGATGTTTGTTAAACACTTATGCCCCCCTCCCCCCAAATTAGAATTTTTCCAAGTCCAAAGGGTCATAAATCTGTCAAAAATAGTGCAATATCACATCCAAAACAGAACTTGGCCTAGAAATTCATAAGATTAATCTGTATACTAAATTTCATTTCAGCATGTGCAACCTCTTTGAAGAAAATAAACGGAAACTACAAATAATAGAAATTTTTCAAAGTCCACGGTGCATAACTCTGTCAAAAATGATGCAATATTACACCAAAAACAGAACTTGTCCTAGATATTCATCTGATATACCTGTATACCAAATTTCATTTCAGTATGTGAAACGGTTGGGAAGAAAATGAACGGAAACTAAATAGACCAACAGACCGACAGACAGCAGCCAAACAATATGCCCTAGCTCCCTTCTTCGAAGGGGGGCATAATAATTGAATATATGCAACCCAAAATATCAAATTCACTGAGATAAGGAAATTTTATTACACATCATGAGCCTTCTTTAGAAGTAAACCAGGTCATTTGATTATGCAGACCCAGTGTCAATATCACAGTCGCTATGCACAGAAGTGCACACGTCAGTCAGTACACACCTGGATCATTAATTTGATTATCTTATCATACCAATAGGCCGCCATGTTTTTTATTTAAAGACAAACTTTAACAGGTTAGACAATTTAGCCTACGTGTTATTTGATATAGGTAAATTCCCAATTAATTAATTTTCTTTCCTGTAATTTTCTTGTTGATTTGAAAAACATATATTTCCTATACCTATTTAAATTAGCGAAAATGAGAAATGTTTCAGTTTTTCTTTGTTGGTACAGGTAAAGAAAAAAAAAACATGGCAACATCATCAGATCCGTATGAAAGGGCACAGGACGTAAAACGCTGTCAGCTTTGCCCCGGAAAAGACAGAAAGTCAGCTGCAGAAACTGTCTGTAAAACATGTCAACTTGACCTCTGTAAAGACTGTGTAGGTCACCATATGATCTCCAATCCCACTATTAGACATGACGTTGTAACCTTTGAGTTCAAAAAATCTGAAGTTATCCCACCACAATGCATTGTTCATAGTGAAAAACAATGTGAAATGTTCTGTGAACAATGTGATTGTCCAATATGTCAGAAATGCCTAGCCTCAGGATTCCATGAAGATCACAATGTACCACATATCTCTGTTTTTTATAGCTCTAAACAGGAGCTTATCAGAAAAGACCTAAATGAACTTGAAACTACAATTGCACCCGTTTATGAATCAATACTCGCTGATATGAAAGAAATGTCATCAAACATTGAACAGAAACATGAAGAAAGGCAAGGAATCCTTGATGGCATTGGTAAAACATGGCACAAGTTAGTAGACAATGTTATCAAAAAATATCAGAGTGATGCCAGAAAAATGGAAATATATGATGTTAATGCGATGAAGAACCTGGAGGCGGAATTCCGGAAAAACTACTCATTAATTCAATCTACAATGGATGAAAACAAATCCATCCTTGCCTTGAATGATCCATCTAAACTTGTCAACTACACTTCAGAAATTAAAAAGTTTAGAACTATTCCTTCAAGATTTGAACTAACAGTGTCAGAATTCACTCCAAAAGAACTGACTGAACAGGCTCTCTGTCAGATAATTGGAGACATTCCAGAGACAAAGAAAACCTGCATTGAAGGACAGGTCCTGAAAGCTCCCCAATCCAATTCGAGTTCAGAAAAAGCTGTCACTGTAAAGAAGATTCTTGATTTGCCACTAACAGTTAGAGATATAAATGCTACATTTATTACTGAATCAGATGAAAAAATTTGTGACATAGTTTGTATTCCTCATACATATAACTTCTGGGTGGGTTATTCCAATGGAATCCTAAGACAGATGAACAAAGAGGGGGAGGTACTGAGGGAGATCATCATATTAAAGAAAAATGAAACAAATTCTTTGACAGTTACCAGAGAGGGACATCTAGTGTATACTGATAAGATGAAGAGAAGTATTAACAAAGTAGAGGGTGATAAAGTAAAATGTCTCTTCAAAGTAAAGGACTGGACACCAGATGCTATCTGCAGCACTTCCACTGATGACCTCTTGGTACTTATGACACCCAAATACACCAGACTGAGTACAATTAAATCAATCTCTAAAAAAATTGTCTGTTATTCTGGTTCTACAGTCACAAAAGAAATAAATATAAAAGGTGAAATTTCACTAGTAGACTTTTCTTTACTTTCATTTTTTGTGCCCCATATTGATGAAAACAAGAACCTTGACATTGTATTGAGTGAAGAAACTTCGGTATTAGTGATGAACAATAAAGGACAATCCAGGTTCAAGTATGAGGGAATGAAAAACAAAATCTTTACTCCACAAGGGATTACCACAGACAGGATGTGTCACATCCTGATTGCTGACGGGGCTAATAACATTATACACATAATTGACCAGAATGGAAAATTCCTCCAGTACATAGACAACTGTGACTTACACAAACCATGGGATCTCAGTATAGATAGGGATGACATATTGTATGTTGCTGAATCCTATAGAGTGAAACAAATTAAGTATATGGAATAAATTTAAGATCAATGTGTTCATGCAAATAAACTGATATAATTAAATTATGAACCTTATAAAGTCCAAAAGCGTTGGATTAAAAACACCAGTGATATGGAAATTAATAGTGTTGATAAATCCCAATAAATAGTACATTTTTTTTCTTGGAGATTTTAGGGAATGTAAATTTATACAATGTCAAAATTGTTTAATTCTTAAACTCATTCCATCTATACAAAATTCAGAAATAAAATACACATTAAACCAGAAGATGAATCGTATACATTTCATTCTCTAACGTGTATATATCTAAGGATTGAACGTATCCAAAGACTATAATTGGTTTTTTTTTTATTTTTAATCAAATCTCTCAAATTTCCTTAAAGCCATATATGGCGTATGTACAATGAAAATTATTAGACTAAAATTATAAGAAGTTATTATTTGTATCATTACTTTATATAAAGATAGAACTTTTGCGTAAATTGCAAAATCTAAGTCAATTGCGTTATAAAGATATCACAATTTAATTTGGATTCTCGGAATTTTCTCCGACTCGGAAGAAAATACAAAAGATTTAAATAACACATTACATAGAAGATAAAATCATATTATTAGTTGAAAAGAGGTGTTCTCCGTGTTCAGAAATGTATGAAAAGTTTTGATTTAAAAGTATTAACTCTATTTCTTTACTTAGTTTTTGTATTTTTTTAAAATTATATTTTTTGATCAGTTACGCCATATATGGCTTTAAGTCTTAAATTCCATATTTCCACTACTCAATACTTTGTTATTGATGATGATGTCACAGATATGAATAGCAGCTGTGGCACCTGTTTTTAGAAACATCCAATTTATCAGGTTTATAAAGTCCATTATTTTAGATTTATTTGAAATTTTATCAATGACTGAATAATTTTTTTTTGAAAGGGAGCATTTTGCATTCAAGTGTAAATTAAATTTCATTTAGATTTACAAGTTCATTTTTTTTTTTTGTTGTTGTTGTTTTTTTCTAACAAAAATATTTTTGCAAATGCAGTGAATGCAAAAAATGCATGAAGCTAAAAATCTAGACAGTAAAATTTTCAGATTTAATATACAGATTTAGAAAGTTTTCATAACAGAATGATGTCATATTTTCATTCAGAATTATTTAACAGGTACTGAAATGTTTTCTTTACATTTTTAGATAAGGTGCGAATTTCTTGAATTGCTTATTTTTTTTTAATGCATGATATGTTTTGTTATGGCATAATACAAAGACTAATATATACTGTACATGTATTTCATACTTATATTCGATTAATTACAGTCAAATCTTTCCATCTCAAATGACATTATGAGAAAATACTTTGGAATATCCAAGAGCAAGGGTTTGGGACATCCAAGGTGATATACTTGGAAATAAGCAAATAAGCCCTAAAATTTGTTTGCAGGGCCAGGGGAGTGGATGGTGGGGGTTATAGATATGAGAATGCCTTACCTCTTTCAGTGGAGTGATGAATGCCATGAGGGATTCTTTACTGATGACTTGAGCCAGTATTTTGTACGAGTCGTAACTTTTTATGGACCTGGCCTCAAACAGTTTACTTGTAACTCCTGCCACCTCCTTCTCCTCAGCCACTTGTCCAAATAAATCTTCATGGAAAACCTGACGAAAAGAGAAAAACATGCAACCTAATTAAAATTAAGAAATTTCAAGATCTGCATGTTTATCATATTATTGGTCTAGCTTTCGGGAGTGCACATGACCTTATTAGCAGAATTTTTTTAAAGGATTCAATTTTGACATTATAAGCAAAGGTTCCTGTATTACTAGAATTGAATTTTTCTAACTGTTTATTCCAATAGATTGTTATAGCTTTCTCTCTTGACATTATTTAACTGATAAAAAATAACTTCTTGCTAACAATATACCAGGTCCAGTTTTTGGGGCATAAATTGCTAAATTTGCGTCAGCCAAAATTTTAATTTATACAGTATAAACCTGCAATCATTTTATTGCCAATTAAATTGTGTTTTACTTCATCCATATTTTCATTGAAAATCAATCATCTCAGGATGAAAAAGCAATGTATTGATCCCAAAAATGTTTTAATTTGACTCACATCTTGGAGACTCTTCCTGCAAACATCCAGCTCTCCTGGTTTAAGTACAGGTAACAAGTTCTTAAGGAGCACATGAACTGTATAGCACAACACATGGACCTGTCAAACATAATCAAATGCAGAAAAGAATGTTCAGTTAAATTTAATTTAATGAGTGTGTCATCTTAGAATTACTTTCAGTGATAACTGCAACATGTTACTTATACAATGCATCTACCTTTTCAATCATAGTTTGGGAATTATGAAAATTTAATTGTACCATAGGACTGGCAGTAAATTCAGATTTTACTTTGATGTTGCTGTGGTGTATTTGCCAGAAGAACCCCTACACACTTTTTTGCAAAGAAAAACATAATATATAGGCATCTAAAATTGGGGTTTACCTTTTTATGTTGTTTAGCCCCCCTCTCTTCAATTTGCTACTGACACCTATGCTTGCAGTACCATTCAAACTTTATAAAATGTCAAAAATCATATCGCGGTTTTTGTACATTATAAATGAAAAGTTCAATCAATGTTTTCCATTGAACCAAACCAACCCCCCCCCCCCCCCCCCCCCCCCCCCCCCCCCCCCCCCCCCCCCCACCCCCAAAAATAAAATGGATCTTCAAAAGGAATAACAGCCTAAAATAAAATATTTAGCCCTCTGTCTAAGCTGCATCATCTTCACACGTACCTAATAATGATCAATCATTTCGAATTTTTTTTTGATCGACAATACCCCAGATGCAGCATTCAAAATACGATCCCTTCAGATGGTGAAAGGTATTTATACAGTCTCCGGGCCACGACTTGACAGAATGAAGTGGATGGTGCTAACTGTCAACCTGCTTTTGTCTCATTGGTCCTCTGGTACAAGTAACTTACACAATAGATATTAATTGGTTAATGGTAAATACACTCACATATTTAACTCGGGGCTTCATCCCTGGTGAGTTAAAAACTGTGAGTTTATTTACCATTAACCAATTTTTAAATATCTATAGTGTAACTACACTTACATGATAATGCAATACAAAACTTAAATTAATGTTGCCTTATATGAATTGTTATCTAAGTAGGTCTGTTACCTGATATCCTTTCCTCAGTGTCCCTCTAAGTTCTGACAAAATGAATGGGAAGAATCTTGGTCCGAGGGAAGTGGTAATCTTCACCAGTGTGTCCCTAGCAGTGTGTCTGATGTCAACAGCTCTAGACCTCATAAAATTACAAACCTTCAATAGGATTCTAAAATAACAACAAAAAATTAAAACACATTTTATAGATATTATCAAATCATGTTTTTCTTCATATACTCTAAAAGACATATTGATAGTTCAGTTAATAAAGATGAATATAGAAAAACTTGCCTATAATCTGGATGTGTATTTTGAAGTATTGTCAATTACAATGTAAATATCAAGTCCCCTAATAAATTCTAAAGTCTAATATTGTCTTGTCTATAATTAAGTCAATCTTTGATGAACCAAAGGTGTTCGGAATTGAACAAATTCTACTGTACTGTAATTCGTGAATTTAGTCAGAATAAACACTTGCCCTGGAAGGTTGCGCTCCAGTGATTTGTGAGGTAGATTCTGTAGTAATTTTATCATGGCTAGAGCTATAGGTACTCTCAGTACTTCACTGTCCTCAGCTATATTATTCCTAGCCAGCTTGTGTTCATCTTCACTCTTCTCCTGCAAAAATATAGCATTAACAAGAGGCCCAAAGGCCTTGAATCGCTCTTCTGATAAATTGTACAACCTATCACTTGTATTTGAAGCCTCTAACCCTAAGTATCCTATTAAAGACCCAAGTTGCATCACCTGACAAAGTTTGATGATTCTTAGCCAATTAGAACTACTTTTTGGTCTACATTCTTGGAAATCACAAAATGCATCAAGTGACAAAGTATGATTATTCTAAGCCAATAAATACCTAAAATACTTAAATATAGCCATAAAATGTCGAAAGTAGGTCATCGTGACCTACATTTTAGTCAACATTTTTCAGAGTCCCAAGATGCATCTGCTGACTAAGTTTGATAATTCTAAGCCAATAAATACCTGAGATATTCAAAAGTAGGTCACTGTGACCTACTCTTTAGTCAACATTCTCAGAAAACTCAAGATGCATCAACTGACAAAGTATGATGATTCTTAATCAATAAGTACCAGGGATACTTAAATATAGCCATAAAATGTCGAAAATAGGTCATTGTGACCTACATTTTGGTTGACATTTTTTAGAGTCCCAAGATGCATCTGCTGACCAAGTTTGATAATTCTAAGCCAATAAATACCTGAGATATTCAAAAGTAGGTCACCATGACCTACTCTTAGGTCGACATTCTCCGAAAACCAAAGTTGCATCAACTGACAAAGTATGATGATTCTAAATCGATAAGTACTAGAGATACATAAATATAGCCATAAAATGTCCAAAAGTAGGTCACCGTGACCTACTTTTTGGTCAACATTCTCCGAAAAAAACCCAAGATGCATCAACTGACAAAGTTTGATGATTCTAAGCCAATAAGTACCGGAGAATACTTAAATATAGCTATAAAATGTTGAAAGTAGGTCATTGTGACCTACATTTTGATTGACATTTTTTAGAGTCCCAAGATGCATCTGCTGACCAAGTTTGATAATTCTAAGCCAATAAATACCTGAGATATTCAAAAGTAGGTCACCATGACCTACTTTTTGGTTGAAATTCTCCGAAAACTAAAGATGCATCAACTGACAAAGTATGATGATTCTAAACCAATAAGTACTAGAGATACATAAATATAGCCATAAAATGTCAAAAGAAGGTCACCGTGACCTACTTTTTGGTCGACATTCTCCGAAAACCCAAGATGCATCAACTGACAAAGTTTGATGATTCTAAGCCAATAAGTACTGGAGATACATATATATAGCCATAAAATGTCAAAAGTAGGTCACCGTGACCTACTTTTTGGTCGACATTCTCCGAAAACCCAAGATGCATCAACTCACAAAGTTTGATGATTCTAAGCCAATAAATACCTAAGATACTTAAATATAGCCATAAAATGTCAAAAGTAGGTCACCGTGACCTACATTTTGGTCGACATTTTTCAGAGTCCCAAGATGCATCTCCTGACCAAGTTTGATGATCGTAAGTTTGAAGGTAATCAAAATATGCCTTTTAAACAATTTGAAAACAAATGCCTGCAAAATTCTAAAAGTAGGTCACAGTGACCTACTTTTTCTTAAATATGTTTTAAGGTCCCATGATGCAGCAACTTACAAGATTTGAAGATTCTAACCCTTTCAGTGCCTGAAATAATGGGATTAAATGTTTTAAAAAGGATAAGTCATAAAGTTCAAAAAGTAGGTCACGGTGACCTACTTTTAAGTTGACGTTGTTCAAGGACCCAAGATGCATCAACTGACTAAGTTTGATGATCATAGGCCTTAAAGTATCCAAAATATGCCTTTAAATCAATTTGAAAACAAATGCCCGCAAAATTTAAAAAGTAGGTCACCGTGACCTACTTTTGAGTTAACATGATGTGAAGTCCTAAGATGCATCAACTTACAAGATTTGATGATCCCAGTCCTTATAGTTAGCAAAATATGAACATTTTTATTAATTGTAAATTTAGGTAAACTTTAAAGTGACCTTGAGACCACGCCCTTTGCCCCAGGGTCATGCCTTGAACAATTTTTAATCTTCAACATATCCTGATCCTTGTATGTAAATTTGGTGAAAATCAGCCTGGTGGTTCTCGAGAAGAAGATTTTTTAGCAACCAGTACTTTTGGTTTTGTTTTCCTGATTATCTCCCCTTGTTTCAGGGTCCCAACCCTTATTTTAGTATATTAAATGGTAGCCCTTGGGCCAAGGATACCCTGTGACAAATTTGACATGGATTGGCCAAGGGGTTCTTGAGTTATGGCCCATATTCTAAAAAGTTAACGCACACCGCACACCGCACGACGCACACCGCACACCGCACAAATGGCCATAGCATGAGCTCTTTGAGCCTTTGGCTCAGAAGAGCTAAAAATCTTATTATTGTACAAATTTAGATCACTGTATATCAGTGACCTGTTTATCTGTCCTAAAGAGTCATGTTACCTTCCAGATCATAATCATCACTTAAGTAAAGAGTTTACTGTAAATCCACATGCTTTACTTATCTGGACACTTATTTTGTTAATGAGACATAAATTAAAATGCAAATTCATTAAGAATGAATTGCATATCCTACTTGACAATAAAAGTAATACCTTCTTTGTCAAACACCTCTGTAAGCTAGGGATAACAGACTTCATTATAGTACAGTGAATTTTAGTGGCCTGGCCAACTGAACATAACACCATGGTATCAAACTGTCTGGTTTGAGAGCCTGTGTTTGTTTCCATGGTTTCGTCTGTTTCCTCTGGAACTGTGGGTATTGCCTCTACAGTTTCCTCTGTGTTTTCTGCTTCTTGTTCTTCATTTTCGAATGGATTTGGCTCCTCTACAATAGATGTTTGATTCAATGAATGGAATAAATTGTGGTTTTAAGTAAAATACAAATACAATTTTTTACAATCATACAGAAAATTTTTGTAATTAAAAATATATTGCAGACTAATTGCAGACTAATAATGTTCATACCATTATACAAGTACATCTACTTCTTTTTGTAGAATTTTTAGAATTATTGGTAACTTTTTGTAGCTTTGACTTGGTTCTTTTTACAAAAACCATTTAATACCTGTTATTTCTCCTTTAGCTTTCTTCTTTGCAACAGAATCTGGTAAATTGTTCACAGAGTGTTGAGAGTTTCTGAGGTCAAAGTGGAATGCATCCAGAATATTAACAATCACCCTACAATAAACAAATCAATATATCATATGCATAACTTATTTATCAAAGAATTCTCTGTATTAACAACAAGAAATCTGTGAGCGAATGCTCACTAGTAATACCCCCGCTCTGATGTGAATAAACACTACCATGTTAATATATATACAAGCTCAATTACAGGCAAATGCACAGAAAAATATGAAGTTGACATCAGATTAACACCAAAATGAATCCCACTATATAATATGTCTCAACAAAGAGTGTACTAAAATTTCAAGCATCTGCGATGAGTAGTTACTGAGAAAACGGAGACGAAAATTTGTTATGTATGAAATGGACAGACACACAGACAAACAGGAAGTTGTTTGATTTGAACAAAAATGTATCCCAACGTATGGCATGACTCAGAGAAGATTGTATTAAAATTTCAAGCTTCTGTGATGAGAAGTTGCTGAGAAAATTGCGACGAAAATTTGTTATGTATTAAACGGACAGACACACAGACAAACAGGAAGTTGACATCCTATTTGAACAAAAATGTATCCCAACATATGGCATGATTCAGAGAAAATTGTATTAAATTTCAAGCATCTGCGATGAGTAGTTGCTGAGAAAACTGTGACGAAAATTTGTTATGGATGAAATGGACAGACGCACAGACAAACAGGAAGTTGACATCAGATTTGAACAAAAATGTATCCCAACGTATGGCATGCCTCACAGAAGATTCTGTTACAATTTCAAGCATCAGCAATGAGTAGTTGCTGAGAAAACTGCGACGAAAATTTGTTATGTATTAAACGGACAGACGCACAGACAAACAGGAAGTTGACATCAGATTTGAACAAAAATGTATCCCAACATATGGCATGCCTCAGAGAAGATTGTGTTAAAATTTCAAGCTTCTGCGATGAGTAGTTGCTGAGAAAACTGCGACGAAAATTTGTTACGGACGGACAGACAGACGGACGGACAGCTAGACAGACGGACTGACAGACAGACAGACAGACAGACAGACACACAAGGGTAAAACAGTATACCCCCCTCTCCTTCGGAGCGGGGGTATAAATATTCCTTTCAAAAAATAATATGGTAACAGTAATGTAATATGTGCTGAAAATATTCTGCATACCTGACTAAAAGTTTTTTCTTCTCAAACTTCTTTGACAATAAAGACAGAAAGTACTTCAGCTGATTTATGTAGATGTGCCAAGGTAGTTGTTTACACAGAACTCCCATGGCATCTATGGCACTTTCTTGCAGACCCTGGGCTTTTGTAAAAGACTCGTCAAGCAGGAAGGAAGAGGTTAGAGGAAGTAAATAAGAGACCAGGATCTCTTTACGAACAGGTCGGGACTGTAATGTCCTGTTCATCTTCTTCAATGCTCTGGATCGTCTGTGTGTCTGTAATAAAGAAAATGAAAAGTTAAATGATCCTGGCCAGGCTTAAAAACATTTTTTTTAATTATCAATTAAAATCCTAAGCAATAATATACATCCTACATTTGTTTAGTATATGTGTATTTAAAACATAAAAAATATTCTGTAATAATAGCAAACTGTAAAAAAAAAAAAAAAAAAAAAAAGTCAGAAACTAGAAAAAAGTAAATAACTACTACTTCATATAAAATTACAGAATTCAAAAACAAAGCAAGTTCCTTACAATTTGCTATACATGCAATTGTGTTTCACTGTAAGTTTACCTGGATATGTCGTATATTTTCAAAGAAATCAGCCTCCACGTCTTTGTCCTTGAGAATCACAAGGTCAGAGAACATGTCATGTGACGGGAATGTATCCACCAGTACAGACAGAACAGCAATGAACTCGTGTCGCACATGCTATTAAGAATTCAAGCAACTTCAAAATACATAAACTCACAAACCCATCAAAATATATCTGTTGTATATTTTTGACATATCTTGAAGTGCATGATTCTTGAAGAATTTTTTCAAACTACATGTACATGTGTGCATACATGATTATATTAATTTTATTAAATGATGTGAAATAGATATATTAAACCTTCTAAAATTTGACATTCAAGCATCATCTTCTTACCTCTTTTTTGTTCCTGAAGCCTGCTTTGACTTCATGAATAAGTCCATTAGAAATCAGATCTCGGAAAACCTCCTGGTCATAGGTCACATGACTGAACTGTTTCACCATGGTAACCAGAGTGTGGGTGGCATTGTCCCTCAGTGACATATCATCTATCTGTTTTAGAATAAACATCAATAAACAATTCAATAAAAAATAAGATTTTTTTTCCATATATTTTTAAAATTACTCTCCAATTCTTCAGAATTTTTCATACTTAATAATATATAAATATGAAAAATGCAAATTTTCTAAACCAAAAGAAGCCAATTTTATTTTAACATGGCACTATATCAAGAACAATAATTTTATGAACACTAATTTGATGTGTTAGTTATTGACTAGTCCCAATGAAGGGAATACACATACATTTTTGATGCAGTAACAACAGGAATGGAGAACAGGAAGCAGGAAGTCCACATTTAATTCCTCCTCCATCCCTTTGATGGCCTCGTTAACTTTCTTGTGAGCATTCAGTCTCTTCATGTAATCTGGCTCCTCCGTGTGTTTAGGGTCCCAGGCATTCAGCTGCATAATTAAATTATTAGATAAATTTGTTTCATTTTGCATTTAACAAGTTAACTTACTGATATGTGGTCTCACTACATTTAGTGATAAAGTGCATGACTAGTTTTGACTACCCACCTCTGATAAAAGTTGTGCTATCTCTTTCAGTTCTTCATTACTTTCTGCAATAACCTAATAAATAAACCATATACCTTTTGGTTAAAACAAGGTCATGCACCTACAAAGTACATGTATGAAAACATTTCGTTTATTTTTCATACAGTATAAAAGAAAAGTGAGAATTTTTTTTTTATCTAAAGATTTGTATTATACCTGAATAAGCTGGCAGAGAAGAATTCTTGACTGTCGATTCTGGATATATCCAAAGAGCTGGCAGAATGATCTGGAATATGAAACAAGACCAGCATTATTTTGCAATTGATTAATTTGCATCAAAAATAGTTAAAATTTGAACTTTAAATGTGTGATAGCAGATAAAAAAAAAAAAATGACCTGTAGAACTTTTTCTTGTCCTTGACCTTGTCCACCAGGTTCCGTATACTGGTCAGAATGTTGACCTCAGTGTCAGGTAGTCTACTGAGCCCCTCCCCAAGAAACGGGAGGAGAAGCTCTATCAGTGCCAGGCATTCTGATTGGTTAGTCACAAATTCACTGATTCTGGAATCCAATAAAAAGCTTTAATGTATTTGGCATGTCAATGCACAACAAAACCAATTTAAAATTGTTTGGCCAGTGTCTAGGTCACTGTGTTGTCCACTTAAAATTTCTAATTAATAATTGTTTACAATCTGAAAGAATCCATTAAATTAATGTAAAAATATCACAATAATTTATTAATTGCCATTGGTGGTACAAAATTTATAGACAGAAAGTTACCTTGACAAAATAGACAACTCTTTCCCTGCTGTCTGTGACCTTTTACCGTGACCTTTGATACTTTTTATAGCTTTCTGTAGGTATGTTAAGATATCTGACACATGTGGTTTCAGAAGCTCTGTTCCAAACTGCCCTACTTCTGACACTGTTACAATAGAAAATTATCAAACTATTGGCTCAAAAAACATAAATAAATCACATTTATTTATACTGTATCTCTATTTGTTACAATACTTACATCTTTTTCTTTTAGCAGCATTATCAATTTGTGGACATTAGATCATTAACAAGTATTTCAAAGAATTTGAGATTTCATTTTCTGACATACAGGTAAATAAACATCATGTCAGTTAAAAGTGTTCTTCAAGGCTGTATAGAAAAACAATTTATAATTCACATTTATGAGGTTTACCATTTATTTGCACCATTTTGTTGACCTTGACCGGTGTTGCCATAGTGATGGTTTCCATTTCCTCCTCTTTTTCCCCTAACAACAGGTTGTTAAGCATCTCAATGATGAAGTCTGTCACAGTTTTGTTTACTTCCTTGGCATTCAGAAGCTTTAAAATGGCACTTATAGGTGTCAAGTCAGGGTCAGTATCATGACACTTTGCCAACAAGGTCAAATATCTGAAATGCAAAAGGTCAAAATTGAAGTGTTGTTTGATATCATTTAAAAATTCAAATGGATCTAAAGAACTATATGCGGTATATTGCATATATTTGCCCCCAGAGAAGTCAAATTTTGAAAACTTCCTGAAATATGCTGAATTCAATAAATTGTATGAGAAATATAAATTAGCAGAAAATATTATAGTGTCAAAGCAGTGTATTCACAATTTTTGTTTTTATGACGTCACAAACTAGTCCGATTTTATATTCTTTTTCAGAAAGAAGACAAAATGGACAAAATTTCAACAATTTTAGCTTTAAAATTTATAGAGCGCAAGTTTGTTCAGGGACAATATTGACAAATTTTGTTGATATTATTATTCTACACATTATATCAAAATATTAATCCTGAACACACATGCGTTCGATGACTTTTACTCAAAATATCGACAAAATATGTACACTTTTCTGTAAAATTCATAAAATTAAAACTGAAATTTATGTCATGTTTGTGACGTCATTGCGTACATATGGCGTCATTACTTATGAAAATATTCAGTGCTTTGAAGTCAGCATATACTCCCCTGTTTAAGAACTTAATTAAATATATAAAGTTTGATTTGGGGGGGCAAATATTGGTTATTACCGAATAAAGTTCTTTGGCAAGGGTAAGAGTTAGTGTTAGATACATAACCGCAATTTACAAATATTTTATCTTACTTGCTTAAACATAGAGAAGACTTTCTAACAAATTAAGTCAATATAGCAAAGTAACATATTTCACTTTTGAAAAGCAAAAAAGTGCTTCTATAATTACGAAAATAAAATCACTTTTAACATGTATGCTTAACTAAACAGCAACAATATTTTCAAAGGCTGCTAAAAAGCCAGTTTGATTTTCAAGTAACAATCAATACCTCCTGTTTGCTGAACACATGTGTAGGAGTTTAAGAAGGGGTGTTGGGTGGTAGATTCCTTCATTCTGAAGTTTTGGTAGCTAGAAATGAAAACATAAACATTGGAGAACATAAAAATTCATTTCAATATATACATGTATTTTGTCTGAATTTCATTGAAAAGAAATCCCCAAAAATCATTTGAACTTGGTAGAATTATCTTTTAACGAGATAATAACATGGTTTTTATTAATAAGCCATAATTTTCTATGCATATATTTTTCATCAGTATCTCCATAGAATATGGATTTAAGTATTATTTACATGTGGGTAGGTTAGCTTTACCTGTGGCCAGACAGCAACATGAAACATGGCATCTATCTCTTTTGGTGAAAACTTGTAGGTGTCAAATACATCATAGAACTACAATGAAAAAACCCAACAATACTTTCAAAGCCCTCCATCATTAGAGAATACATTTTATATAAAATCTCAAACAAAGAAGTGGAGTACAAAAGTGCATTTCAAACACAGGCACATAAATCTGTAAACAAGAATGTCTGACAAAACAGCTTAAAAGAGCACATTTCTAAACTGTTTACCTGCATGATCTGGGTGATACACAACTGCCTGATGTTTTTGAGTGGTTTGAGGGCCCCGGGGGATACCTCCTCCCTCCTCTCTAGACAGGCCACACAGGTAGAGGTTAACCCCAGGAGGACACAGTGTAGGGAGGGGAGGTAACCCTCGATCAGGTGGCCCAACTTCTTCACAATCATATCCACTGTGTTCAATGCCCTGAGAGGTTAGAAAAGGATAACATGTACATCATTGGTAACTCATAATGCACTAAAACTGTTTGTACATCTTCATTAATTTGGAATGTATTTTTTACATAATTTTACAATGTGCATGTATCCTCACAACTCTCAACTTTTATTATTTTTTTTTTTTTGTGATGCTCGCTATTTTGAGAATTTGACTTGCTCTACAGATCTGTATTTGAAGTACAAATAAGACACTTTCCTACAAAAACAGGTTTACATGACTATTCAAGAACATAACTGTGTTGAGTAATTTACCCATTCATTTTCCTAAGTGGGATCACTCTGGATAGATCAATTTCTTTTTCTGTTTGACACACCATAGCCAATGCATCATCTACAAATAAAATCAATAACTCCCTGTAAATATTTGAAAGGTCTATAAATACAATAATCTTGCCTGCCAAGCTTTTAAATCTTGAAATATCAACATTTATGGGTGCTCCATATTTACCAGACACAAAGTGTTTGAAGCTCTCAAACACCATGTCCATGAACTTGATGATTTCCTCCCCACTACAGCCGTTGAGAAATCTGAACACTATGGACCTCCTGAACTGACTGTGGGACTTCCCTGCTGAGTCCTTCCCTGTCTTACTGTGCATCTTCCCATATAATATCCTATAAATAATAGGTCACATAGCTTTGCAGTCTTTGAAAAAAGTTATATTAACATACTACTACAAAATATGATATACTTTTTTCCATGCGGAATGAATCAACACTATGTACATATTCAAATATTTTCAGGGGAAATTTGTCCAAGCGTACTTAATGTACACCTAAGTAATTCCAAGGAATTATGAACCCATGGGAAAAAGTTGTTTACAGTATCTAAATAATCTGAAAGCTATATATAAAATACCCATGTATTTACAGATATATATTTACACATAACTGAATTGTTGATACAGAATAATTCCTTTTAGAACATGACATTAGGGCTCACACACCTCATTAAGATAGGCAGCACCTGGTCCCTGTGTTCTGGACTCACTATGCTGTTCTCATGGTCAATACTGAACAGGACAATCTCTGTCTTAAACTTAGCATCATTCAGCAGGTTATCAAAATTCTCCCTGTAAATAGAGAAAGAATAAAACTCTGCATCCCGCAACTCATAAGCAAGAACAAAATTAATACATAGACATTTGATACTCTAAGTGACCAGACAAATCTTGCCTGGACTTACCTGTATGGCACTAAATATTTATGTTTGTACGTCATGATGCAACTAAAGGCCACCTTCTGTACTTTGCCATTTTTATGCAGTAAAAGCTGTAAACAAAGTAAAATTATATTTTATTGATTATTTGCAGCACAGAAGGACAATAAAATACAGTGAATGGCGATTTCTATAAGTACCTGTTCATACAAATGTCTGACTTCCGTTTCTCTGTATAAGGATTTAGGGCTGGAGAATTTACTGAACAGTTCCAAATGTACAATGAGGGCACTGAAAAAAGGACATAAAAACGGACGTAAATATAACTTCTTCTAATTAACTATACAAAAATATATTTTCTTGGAGTGTAAAGTAATGATTTAAGAATGATACAAATACATAAAACTATAGAGATGTAATCAATATATACAAGAAACTTGTACCAAAGCAGATATGTTGAAATACCTAGTAGCTGCCCTTCTTTTGGTCCTAGCACCCTTTGTATTTCCCCCTTTATCTTTGCTTTTTCTTTTCCTCTCATCAACACCTTTCTCATCATCCACTAAGTCTTCTTCCCTACATAGCAAAAATATATACAACAAATAACAAACAGAATACTGTAAGAGCACAAATATTCATGGGGGATTAAATTTCGTTAATTTCGTTGTTAACAATTATCAACGAAATAAAATACCACACGAAATTATATATGACTATATATTGAATAGGGTTACTTTCAAAACAACGAAATTAAATCTCCACGAAACTATTCCAGATGACAAAACAACGAAATTTTATCCCCACGAAAATTTGTGCTTCTACAGTACTTTTTTAAATACTGAAATAGCTAGATACCTATAATGATTTGCTAACATATCAGTATAGTCAAAGAATGAATCAGATTTCCTTGAAGGAACATCTTTGATATCTACAAATATTTACAATACAGTTTACAAATTACACAACATTTCTACAGGTTTACAGTGAAATTCCCCAAGACGCAGGGAATTTCCCTGATACAACGATGTTATCCTCCGATTTTTTTTTGTATTTCTTCTAAACTCCCCATTAGGGATGAACCGTAGACCCCCGTCTACTTTTTAAATGTCCCATTCTTTTTCAATTCTTAGGGATGCAACCCTTTGGCTATATGTAAATCTGATTCCAATTCATCAGTACTTACATTTCTGACTTAGACTCCGACTTTCTCTCTTTCCTTCCCTTCTTTCTATCTTTACTCTTCCTTTGAGCCCTGGTTTCTACATGGTCCTCCTCTTCTTCCTCATCCTCATCCTCAATATCCTCCTCCTCCTCCTCTGACATCTGAGTCTCTTGCCTCTTTAAGTTCTGAGTGGGAGCTGCTGACAAATCCACATTGTAGTACTCCATGCTGTTAAATATTCATCCAAATCATGAAAAATGTACAATCAAGAAAAGTGATAGATGTAAATAATCAATTAATGTGTGTAAGATAAACTGTTATCAATGGTATAGGTATCATTAAGGTAGTCAATCTTTTCAAATGATGAAAGGAAGGTAACCTTCAAGAAGTACAGTAAAACATGGTTAAAGTAATTACATTTATAGGGAATTCATGCTTATTGCAAGTGATTCTCAATCCCATTTGTTTTAAAATGTGTTTTATTCTTAAAGGATACTGTAGTAGTACCTTTTTCCGTGTGGTATTAATTTACGCTATGTACGCGGCCACAAATTTTCCTCGGAAATTTGTCGAAGCGTACTTAATATAAATGTAAGGCATATAGTGACAGTATAGAAAATCCGCGTAATTTTCTGCCCGCGGATTAAACAGAAATTGAGATTCCGCGGAATTATGACCCTGTGGAAAAAAGTACGTCTACAGTAAAACAAATGACACTTCTAATGAATCAAACTTGGTCATTTCTGTCGCTTTGTTACAAGTGTTACTGTATACATGTATGATACATTAATCATGTACACATATACATCATCCTTTTAATCTAATGCTTGGTGCAGTTATGAATTATTTCAATTTTATGTTATATAAAAAAAATGTACCTCATAAATTTCAACAACAAAGTAACAACATCTCTATTTTTCTTTTCACACAAGTCTGGAAACAGATGCATAGACTTCCACAGATAAAACCTAAAGTTGGCATAGTCTGGTTTTTCTAGACTTTCATGTGATCTACAGCTCTTCACAAAAAGTTGTCTCATGTTATCATCATCTTCCTCCATTGGATCCTGTTCTGTGCTGACTGAGGAATCTGCCTGGTGCAAAGTTTCCTCTAAAAGAGAGAATGTATACTAGTATTTGGTATGTTGAATCAAGAATCTTTGGATTTTTTTTAAACAAAGTTGTATATTTACTGAAATATCACATGCTGTTACTCTATTGAATTATTCATTTAAAAGACAGCTTTATATTTCTTTTCATTGACAATAATAAATCCTTAAATTACATTTTACAGGTTTAAAGTAAATTTTATAGTTCCTACCACACTTTTGAGCTGCATCTTCTAGAACCAGCCTGTATAGATCCCAGAACACCATTTTATCTAGGCCTACAGCATGACTGGCAATAAGTTTTGTAACGGGATCCCACAGCAGCTTAAAGCCGATGTGCAGAGAACCAATCAAGTACCTCAAAGGTACCTATAAATGGAGAAATGCATTGCTTGAGAATGAAGTTCTAAATGAATTACTAATTCATTTTTTTTCAAATCAATAATATAATTCCCTGTAAGTACACTTGTATAACAGAAACAACAAACAATAAATGATAATTTTTTTCTGTCTGACCAAGCATTCTAGATCTAAGGCCATATAAAATTGAAATCTTGGTTCTCAGGCCCGCGCGCATCCGTTTTGAGGTAGCCGCATTGCCGATTTTATTGTATTTTTGATAAAATAAAAAGTTGGTATTGCGGAGACCAATCCGGGAAAAAAATTTCCGACCGCATTTGTTTCGTAGTTTAGTATTCAAATATCACTTCCGGTAGCCATTTACAATGAGATTTTGGCTGCTTCATTTGAAAATACATTCAAGGACATTACCTACGATGTTTACACGCTGTTAAGCAATGGATAAAGCAGAAATTTTAACCAGAAATGGAAAGTATATCTGTGATTAAAAAAAATTATCTTTATGTTAAAGAAAATTCGGAAATTAAAATAAAAAAAAATACCTCCCTCATCTACTTTATTGCCAATAAAATGAAAAACTAGAACTGTCCAAACGGGACAAAATACCCCCCGCTGGGTTTTTCAGAGGTACGTTTTTCCATAATAAAGATATGCATCAAACAAAAATTATGAAATTT